TATTTATGGTGAGAGATGCTGGCTTTTCATTGTTGGTTATGATGTTTACTTTTTAAAGGGAATATATATTAGTAAATAATAGGACAAATGACCAAGCATGCCTGCAGATAGGGAAAGTCCACCTCATCCTCTCACTTAGGGTCCACCCCTCCTTGAGGTGGGCAGGGGGCTTAGCCCTGTTCCACAGAAAAAGGCCGATTGCAACTGGAAATGGTGGCACTGGGACTCTACCCAGGTCTTGTGGCCCCAAATGTCATACCCTTTTCTCTCTGCACTATCAGGGGCAATCCAAGAGCCAAAGGTGATAGAAGGAACCTGGAATACCTTTGCAGGGTCTGGGCTTGGCCCAGGCCCAGCCTCCCCCTGCTCTTCCTCCCCTAAGCTACTGCCAATTGCTTCACTCCCTCATTCATTCATTTGACAAACTTTTATTGGGCCACTCTGTCCTTGTGCTGAATGCCCTCAAGGATATCCCAGTCTGGTGAGGGAGACACAGCATAACATGCCACATGAGAGCATATGAGTTCTGGGAGCCCAGAAAAGGGAGAGGTGAGTTCTGAAGAAGTGACCTTTTTGTCAGGGAGGGGAGAGGAAGTCCAGAAGGATTTCCCAGGCAGAACTACGTGGAGGTTGGGGTGTGCATGTTGTAGGCAGAGGAATCTGTGTGGTCTTGGACTGTGGTTACTAGATGAGTTTGTTTGCATAAAAACATTTAATTAGGACAGCACCTGGCACACAATGAGCTCCATATAGGCCTTGGCTGTTGTTGGCCCTGAGGGCAATGGGTGGGAAGTTCAAAGGGTCTGGCTGTGCCCAAGGGTCATGCCCAAGGGTCATTGCCAGCATGAGGCTGGAGGGCTGGGCTGGATCAGATCTTGGAGGACCCTCAATATTGTGCTAAGGCCATGGGAGTTTTTTCTGTTGGCCACAGGGAGCTAGTGAAGCATTTTGAAAGTTAACCTTTGATCCCTTCAGAAGCCGGTGTGGAGCAGGGGACTGGAGGAGCAGAATGGAGGAGGGATGGGGGACAAGGGAACNGTCTACCCTAGCCAGCCTGTGCTAAGAAACTTTTAGAGTTGTTAAGGGCTGTCCCACCATCTCGTTTTGCTTGTGGATGCCCTTAAAGAATTTAGGGGCAAATAAGAAGAATCTCAGAGTGGGAAGACTTAGAAACTGTCTAGTTCAGCCTCCAGCTCTAGTCACAGTTACACCCATCGAAGTCCCTTATCTGCCTCCATACCCCTCTGCTATGAAGCTCACTGCCTTCCGAGGCAGCCCATTCCATCCTTGGTCAGCAGAGAAAGCTTTCCCTCCCGGTGAGCTAACACTGCCTCCCTCGGGAACTTCACTTCCTGGAACATTCCAAAACATGTCCTCATCTGTCCTGCTCTCCAGATGGCTCAGTTCTCAGTGGCTTCCTCTTCCCAACTTTACTGCATATGACCCGGAGTCACCTAATGAGGACAGCAGCTGGGTTGGGTCACTCCAGACCTTGTCTTCCAAGCTTCCCGTCCACCCAGCAGGGTCACTGGGGTGTGGGCCTGGGGCTGCTGGCCTGGTGCAGATCTCAGCTCCTCTGTTTCCAGGCTGGGGCTTGACCAGGTTACTCCAGCTCTCTGTGCTTCAGTTTTCTCCTCAGTAAAATGGGGATGATGTTACCAACCACGTAGGGCTGTTGTGAGGAAAACGTGTAAGGGACTGAGAACAGCACCTGCACCTGCTCAGCGCTCTGAAAGGCTTAGTTGTTGTTCTTAATGCAGGAACTTGTACCTGGAACAGGGTTTCTAAGACACAGTGCTGTGGAGGTGTGGGGAGCATGGGGGTCCAGTCTACCCTAGCCAGCCTGTGCTAAGAAACTTTTAGAGTTGTTAAGGGCTGTCCCACCATCTCGTTTTGCTTGTGGATGCCCTTAAAGAATTTAGGGGCAAATAAGAAGAATCTCAGAGTGGGAAGACTTAGAAACTGTCTAGTTCAGCCTCCAGCTCTAGTCACAGTTACACCCATCGAAGTCCCTTATCTGCCTCCATACCCCTCTGCTATGAAGCTCACTGCCTTCCGAGGCAGCCCATTCCATCCTTGGTCAGCAGAGAAAGCTTTCCCTCCCGGTGAGCTAACACTGCCTCCCTCGGGACCCCCGGTTCTCATCTTTGCCCCTCTGTCATCCTGGTCAAGCACCCCTATGGGGCCATGTAACAGGCTGCCTGCCTCCACCCTTGAGTCTTGGAGAAAGTGACTTTATAACCCTGTGCCTTCTCTTCTCCAGGCTGTGGTCTAGAACCTTTGAAGTAAAGAGAAACTGCCACCTCCCCAGTTAGACCTCAACTAACATGACTTATCTCTAGTCATGTAGTTTCACATTAAAACTCATTGAAGGAATCTCCACACAGGATTTTCTTGGCTGCTGCTCAGCCACATCCCCATTCTCGGCTTGCACTGGGTGGGTCTTGAATGCAGGACTTTATGAGTCAGGGTTACGGGCTCATAAAACACACAGATTTAGGGTTTGCTCTGGCTCTAGGCAAAGCCTGACCCAACAACTCAAATGATGTTACCAAGTACCTTTTAGCCCCCAGAATATCCAGATGATCACCTTAGAGTCACAAATAGCCATCACAGCTCCTTATCTTGTCCTTACACCCCCCAGGCAGTAAGCAAAGGGGGTCGTGAGAGAGGACGCTTCTGTTCCCCAGACCCCAGCAGACAGCTCCTGTGTCTCATTGGGTACCTGCGCAGCCCTGTACCAATCATGGTGGCTGGGGCTGGAGTTATGCTGATTAATGTGGGGAGAAGCCATATGCCCGCCCTCGGGCCTTGTTACCTGCAGTGGTGGTGGTGGGTGGGCAACTGGGTGGTGGTCTGGGAGCTGCCAGGGAGGGAGAGGATGCTGGGCGGCCCCCTACAGCCGATGCCCCACTTCAGGCTGCATGTGCAGACCCAGAGATCCCCTCTGTTGGGTTCAGTGGGCCCTCCAGGAAGGACAGTTGTCTGGGTGCTGAGTACACCTGATGTAATCCTGGCCAGAACCTCATCCCAGTCATGCTGGAACATCTGCTGTGGTCTCCCTGACGTGTATGCAGCCAGCGGCGCTCCTGGCCAACCTCAGAGTTTCTGGGCTCCTCTGCCTGCTCCTCTGGCCTGACCATGACAATTGAAGCAGAGCTGAGAAGACCTTGAGGTCGTCGGCTCCAGTAGCCCATCCTGTGCATGGGACCCAAGGCCTGCTGCCAGTTCCTTGTTGGCAGTTCTGGGTTTGGAGGCAAGGGCCCCAAACCGGGCCCACCCCATCCAGGTTCCCTGTCCTGCCCCTCCTGGGTACTGTGTGGCTTCCACCCTTACAGCGGGTCTGTGCAATGCCCAGGAACTGGCTGTGATGACAAACAGCAACTTCTGTGCTGAGGACAAGGGTCCTTTAAATATTAAATGTTGATATTATCAATATCAAATATCGATAAAGGGGCATGCCAGTTAGCTCAGTTGGTTAGAGCACAGTGTTGTAATGCCAATGACAAGGGTTTGGATCCCCAAACAGTTGCCAAAAAAGAAAAAAGAAAAAGGTTGTGCACATATTGATAAAGGATCAATAGTCACTGGTCCTGGGAAGTCCACTAAAGTGAATGCACATAAGATGGGGACCAAAGAGAGGGAAAAGCAAGACTAAAATTTATTAAAATGAGCTTATTGTACTGTTTATTTAAGAAAACCAGGTAATATTTTTTATTCATTCCTTTTTAAAAATAATCTTCATGACTGAAGTACGATGCTCTCATTCTTAAGCCACACATAAGAGTTGTTCAGGCTTGAAAAAAATTACTTCTGGAGTAATTTTTCCAACAAAACTGTGTGAGAATAAAGTGGTGCATTCTTAACTTAATGTTTTTTTACTTTTGCAGCTTAATCATGAGGAGGGTCCCTTTTGCAAAAACATTTGAGGCCTTTGTTAGTTTTTACACGGGCTTTTCCCAGTCCTCTGAGTCTCTTTTGGTGCTCCAGGCCGTCCTCATCCGATTGATTTTTCTTCCTCTGTTGTAAATGGGTCTGATTCTGCCATGCTCCCACAGGTTTTGCCTGTGTTTCAAGAAGATCTCCAGTATCCCCTTGACCGACATCACAAAACCCCCCTTTTTCAAGATACACAGTTTCACTTTGCAGAGGATTTGTATTGGGATTGTTATGTCTGACAATTGGGGAGAGACTGAGTAACAAAAGATGCTGAAGAGATGGGTGAGGGACAGATGCTGGTGTCAAGTGGGGGGTGGGTATGGGACTAGTTTAATAACTGGCCAGTTCATTGGTGAATATCTTCATGTTATGGCAGATTTTTCTTTCTTCCCTGACCTTGTAACTGCAGGAACATGGAAAATGAATATTCAAAAAGTGAGGACCTCGGAATATCAAGAAAAGTGATAAGTAGGTTCTCCAAAACCCAGAGAGGGGAGATGCTTCAATTAAAGGCTTCCGGGGACAAGACATAGAATATGTAATTAAAAGTAGCTGAAACAATGAAAACTTAAAAAAAAAATCTCACCCATAATAAGAAGTCCAGAGGTGGGTGGCTCCAGGATTGGGTAACTCAGTAGTTAAAAGCTGTCAGGGCTCTTGTTTAACTCCTCAGTGATTCTTTCAGACTTTTCCTCATGGTCACAAGAGGGCTGCTGCATCTCCAAACATCACGTCCTCACATGACAATGTCCAAAGGCAGGAAGGAAGGGGCATTTCTCTTCCCAGGCTTCTTTTTACAAGGATGAAAATCTGTCACAGAGGTTCCTTGGAAGATTTCGCCTTGAGTCCCATTGGCTAAAATTGGGTTATATGCCTGTGCCCTAGCTGCGAGGGAGGTCGGTTGTATTTGGCACTTCCTCCTGGATTGTGGGAGGCTGACTCTGCCAGGACAACGATGGCTGGTCATAGGCAGCTTACTGTGCAGAGTGATGAGTGGAAGAAGGTGGGCCCACATCCCACAGTCTTCTTCTCAATGCCTGTGTCTCTCCTCCTGCCCACAGGTCAGAGGGCCCCCAGCTCCCAACCTCCCCACGAGCCAGCCTGGAGCAAGGTGGCAAGAGTGGTGAACCTCAGGACGATGGGACCAGCGACCCAGATGCTGCTCCCGAGGGAGCCTGGCAGTCAGACAGCAGCTCCGGGAGCAGAGCCCTGGATGAAGGTTTGTTCCTGCATTCCAGTCCTGCTGCCAGGCTCACGGTTGATCCAGCCGTGCCCAGCCCTGCTGTCAGGGGCCTGTCTGCATCAGTGCTACCATCTGCCCTCCAAACAGATCCTCACTCCTCCTTGATGCTCAGGCTGAGCTTCCTGAGCTCACGGGCCCATTTCCCTGGGTCCATTGTCTTACAAACCTGGACCTTAAGAATCTGGTGGGCATGAAGCCATTAGTAGGAAAGAAGAGGGTGTTTGCTGGTTCACGTCATTTAAAAGTCCAGTGCAGGTTTCAGGCACAGCTGGGATGTCAGTAGCATCCCCTGCTTCCTCTACAATGATTTATTTTGCAGAAGGCACTCCCCTGGCCACCAGGGATGGCCACTGGCAGCTCCAGACCCATGTTCTCCCATTTCCCAGGCTGGAGGCATGGAGGGCATTTCTCTTCCCTGGAAGTTTGACTCCAAGTCTTGGCCTGACTCTCACTAGCTCCTGTTGGGTCCCCTGCCCTTCCTGAGCCTGACACTGTGGCCGGGTGGTCTGCACTCTGTAACTGGTCAGGCCTGACTCAGAAGCCCCAAGAACTGGGGTGGAATGAAAGAGGAGGGGCAGGCTCCCCTGGGGATGGGGACTGATGCTGGCCAGCAGAATGCCAGGCAGCCACAATAGACACCAGGGTTTTCTGATGCTCAGTCGGGTGGGAGTCCACCAACAAGGCCCTGCAACATTGGGGATCACAGACAGTCACACATGTGACAGCCCCGTCCTTCACAATCCCCCCATGTTACAGGCATGCAGTTCTCTGAGAGTTGAAAATCTGTCCTACCTGGTGCCCATGCCCCACAAAGCCCCACCCCAGCTCCCAAGGGACGGACTTGGCCTTCTCTGATTGGGGTACCATGTCCTAAGATGGAAATAATACTCACCTCTGAGATCACAGACATCCTGGCTTGTATCATCTTAGGAAACAGAGAAGAAAAAGAGGGTGTCTCTGTCCCAGCATCCCTGTGTATGATCCTAGCAAGGGGCTCTGACTGGCCAGTCACTTGGGGGTTGGGGGGCTGTCAGAACAGCCTTGGTGGCCTCACCTCACAGGAGCATGGGTCATGGGGGACAGCTGTCTGGACGAGGGGCACATGGTGCCAGAGCCCCTCCCTCTGACCGCCCCACCTGCGTGTCCCCCTGGGGAGGGCTGCTTGGCTCCCCACCCTTTGTCCTGGGTCCTGCATCTTGTGCTTGTCCAGCAGCAGGCGAGCAGCTGTTCCGCTCCGTGGAGGGCCAGGCCGCCTCTGATGAGGAGGAGGAGGCGGACGAGGAGGAGAAGAGGCGGGAGGAACAGAAGCCATTGGTGGCCGAGGCCAAGACGCTGCTGGTACAGCTGTCCAGCTGTGGGCGCGGGTAAGTCCAGCATCTGCTGGCCGTGGCCTGCAGGCTCTCAGAAGTTGTCTGGGGAAGCCCAGAGCCCCTAGGTTGGTGAGCCCCGCACTCCTGGCCTCTTCACAGAGTGGCAGAGCTGGAACTTGGGAGGCTGGTGGCCAGGCTCAAGTCCAGGCTCGGCCGCCCTGCAGGTCGTCTGCCAGAAGGAGGTGTGTGAGGCCGAAATGAGATGATTGTCATGGGCACAGCTCACAGGTGGCCATAATTCCCATCAGTTCTCTCTCACTCCCTTGGCCACTGCTGCAAAGCTCTTGTGTCACTCCCAGACACTAGTGTCACTCTCAGGCCCTTCACTAGTCCATTGCTCCTTTCACCACGCTGTTACAGCCCCTCCTTCAGCCTGGTCCTGGGCTGGTGCTTTCTTATTTATTCACTGTTTAATCTTCAGGACCACACTGGAGGGGAAGAAGGACAGGCCCAGGATGCCTGGCGCACCTCAGACAAGTCTTGACTTCTCTGAGCCTCAGTCTTCTCATCTCTAAGATGGGATGGTAACACCTGTCTGGCAGAGGCTTTGTGGGGATTTGGGGTCAAGAATATAAAATGCTTAATGGGTGCCTGGTAAACAGTAGGTAGCTACAGCCAGGGAGTGGGGCGGCATCTCCATTTATTACATTGTGAAGTGCTGTAGATTTTCTGGGGTTATTATTATCACTGATTCTTACATCAACAACAAGCATTTATTAAGCACCTACTATGTGCAGGGCAAATTTTGAGGCACTAGGAAAAAAGCAATAAACAAGACAGTGGCCCTCATCTCCTGGAGCCTCTTTTCCAGTGAATGTGACAAGTGTGAGGAAGACAGACAAGAGGGGAANCAGAGGGAAAATGAGTCTCACTCCCAGTACATTTAATCTCAGGGAAGAACTCCAATTGGCCCAGCCTGTCTTGTGCCTGTCCCTGGGCCAAACCTTGTAGTAGGGGATGGGTTCAGTGATTGCCATCCCCACCAAAGTCAGATGAAGTGGAGGAGGGGCAGTTTCCCACAGGAAAGAGAGTGCGGTTGCAAAAGGAGCGAGAAGGAAGGCTGAGCATCCAGCTGTGTCCATTTCACTCAGCATTTCTCATTCTCGCTACCCAGTGGTGATTTTTCTGTTCCAGTAGCCAAATGTGCAGTGCCACCTAGAGGTGTCATTTCACTCAGCCCTAGGCCAGTGTACTTTTGCAAACTGTGGTTTTGATGTAAGATAGTTTTATATTTACNGTTATTATTATCACTGATTCTTACATCAACAACAAGCATTTATTAAGCACCTACTATGTGCAGGGCAAATTTTGAGGCACTAGGAAAAAAGCAATAAACAAGACAGTGGCCCTCATCTCCTGGAGCCTCTTTTCCAGTGAATGTGACAAGTGTGAGGAAGACAGACAAGAGGGGAAGGGACGGGCAGTGCAGAGATATGCTGGGAAGGTCGCTCTGAGAAGGCACTGTCTGAGCAGAGACTGGAAGATGAGGGAAGAAGGATGCGGATGTGGAGGGAAGAGCATTCGAGGAATAGGGAACGGCAGGTGCGGAGCCCCGAGGGCATGTGGGAGGGACAGCGAGGAGGCCACTGTGGCTGGAGCAGAGGAGAGGAGGTGGGTGGCATCAGATGAGGCCTGTCGCCTTTCCTCTGAGTGAGATGGGGCGACAGGAGTGCTCAGCAGACAGGTGCCACAGCCTGGCCTTGCTTTTAGGAGGAGACAGTCTCGGTAACGATGCTCACACTCTGAGGCTGGATGGAGCAGACTCTGGAAAGCAGCTCCCAGTAGTGCTGGCCTCTCCTTTGCTGCAGGTGTGATGACCAGACAGCCAAGAAGCTTATTTCTTACTTTGGCCGCTTTGATGGTGCCGACCACGCCTGCACCCTGGGGGAGCTGGAGGCCTGCATGTCCGCGCTGGTGGAGCAGCTGGGGACTCAGGGCTGCAGTGGGAAGACCCAGAGGACATCTGGGGAGGAGGTCAGCAAGTCCCAGAGATCAAGGACTGGACCAATTCTAGAGTCTCACAGCTGGAATGACCTGAGGGATCCGAGCCATGTCCTGTACCCCTTTCGCAGATAGTATACCAAGACTCAGAGAGGAGATGTGGTTTCCTTTGATTTCAATTTTATGAGAAGCTTTTGGTTGCAGTTAAAAGTTCCCCTTTCAGATTATGCTTGAGTGCAAAAGAGGAATTTATTGGAACATGGAGCTGAGAAGAACAGGGGTGGTGTGAGCATCAGGCACAATTGGATCCAGGGACTCAGACTAGATTGTCTCTACCGGTCTGCTCTGGGTGCTGGGTGCCCTTTCCTTTACTTCAGAGGGGCTTCCTCCCTGTGGTGGGGCAAGGGAAGGCAGGACCACAGACAGCTCTAGGCTTCCATCAGCCCACCTAGAAACCACAGAGGGAAAATGAGTCTCACTCCCAGTACATTTAATCTCAGGGAAGAACTCCAATTGGCC